TCCTAGTCCATTTACCATGTTTCCTAGTCCATTTACCATGTCCTTTCAATAGTTTTCCTAGTCCATTTACCATGCTTTCCCAGGTTTCCTAGTCCATGGCTTTTTCCTATGGTCCTATCCATTTACCATGGTTTCCTAGTCCATTTACCATGCTTTCCTAGTCCATTTACCAAGGTTTCCTAGTCCATTTACCAAGGTTTCCTAGTCCATTTACCATGGTTTCCTAGTCCAATTTAGTCCATTTGGTTTCCTAGTCCATTTACCATGTCCATTTTTCCTAGTCCATTTACCATGGTTTCCTAGTCCATTTACCATGCTTTCCTAGTCCATTTACCAAGGTTTCCTAGTCCATTTAGTCCTATGGTTTCCTAGTCCATTCCTACCATGGTTTCCTAGTCCATTTACCATGGTTTCCTAGTCCTAGTTTACCATAGGTTTCCTAGTCCATTTACCATGCTTTCCTAGTCCATTTACCAAGGTTTCCTAGTCCATTTACCATGATTTCCTAGTCCATTTACCATGCTTTTCAGGTTTCCTAGTTCATTTACCATGCTTTCCTAGTCCATATATCAAGGTTTCCTAGCATTTATTGTGCTTTCCTAGTCCATTTACCATGGTTTCCTAGTCCCTTTACCATGGATCCCTTTACCATGCTTTCCTAGTCCATTTACCATGGTTTTCCCTATGCTTTCCTAGTCCCTTTACCATGCTGTCCATTTACCAAGGTTTCCAAGTCCATTTACCATGGTTTCCTAGTCCATTAACCATGCTTTCCTAGCCATTTACCAAGGTTTCCTAGGCCATTTAGTAGTCCATACCAAGATTTTCCTAGTCCATTTACCAAGGTTTCCTACTTTTACCATGCTTTTTCCATTATTCATGGTTTCCTATGGGGCACGTTCATTTTTTTTGCCTTCATGTAGTGCGGTTTTGCCGCGTTTTGTGTTTTTATTCTGCCCAGCAACAAAAAACATGCTGAAAAAAAAGTTTCCAATCACGTTTTTTCACCATGAAAACACGGATGAGATCAAAAAGCATTTACAACGGTTTCCTGTTTGAACCAAGCCTAAAACTGGAAAGTGCCAAATCTGCAGATGTGCATGGTAGCCAAATAGGCTTTACTCAGCTTGTTTATAAAGCTTTGGCAATTTACTGATTGGTTTCCTAGCACCAGATTTTAATCTAGTTTTATTGGGTCCTTTCACACAGGTTTTCATTTTTTCTCAGTTTACATGAGTTTACACCTGTTTTTTTTTCATCTAGTTTTACATTGGTTTAGACCTGTTTATGTTTCCATCCCGTTTTTTCATCTGTTTACATTGGTTTTCATTAGTTTCTGGTTTAGATCTGTTTTCATCCGTTTTTCCTGTTTACATTTACATCCGTTTTTTCATCCGTTTTCCATTTTTTCATCTTTTTTCATCCATTTACATTGGTTTACATCTAGTTTTTCATCCGTTTACTTCCGTTTTTGGTCAGTTTACATCTGTTGATATCTGTTTTTGATTATTTGTTTTTTGCGGAGAGAATAAGATTTTCTTCAGTTCAAAAAAAATGGATGTTCAATGGATGCGGACATTAACGGATGTGAAAAAAAGGTGTTCATCCTTTTGCATCAAGATGCAAGTCCATAGAAATACATGGGAGTCCGTTTTTCATCCGTAATCGGACAGATGAAAAACGGACATACCAGAACTCTGTGTGAAAGGGGCTATTGTGTTTGCTTCTTTTTTTTTTTCCGTAAATCCTCCAACCAGCACACATAATTACATTGATAGTTTCTTCACACCTATTTTTTCATCTTTTTTGTCTGTTTTGCAATTCATGTTACGTTTTTTCTACACATGTGTTTTTGACACATTTTGTGTTGTTTTCATTTTTGTTCACATTTTTTTTTTTCATTTAAGTGGAATTTTGTTTTAGTGACTGGGCAGAATCTCTTAGATTGTAAGCTCCCAGGATCAGGGCCCTCCTAAACCCACTTGTGTTTTGAACTGTATTGTTGCTGTATTGTCTCCCTTTATATTGGAATTTTGTTTTAGTGCTGAGCAAAGCTAACCCACTTGTATAAAATCCCTTTATATTGTAAAAATAATAATAATAATAAAAAAATGCAAAACGCAGCAAAAATGCACTACCATTCATTTCAGCAGTTTCTTCGTTGAACTCTGTTGTAGCAGAAACGCTGCTTTTTGCTTTTAAAAAATGTCCCTGACCCTTTCCAAAAACGCAGCAGCTCAAAAAAAGCATAGATGTGAACATGTTCCATAGGAAAACATGGTAAATGGACTGTAGTGCGTTTCTGCAAAAAGCACTAAAAAAATGCATTGGTGTGAATGGAGCCTTATGCATGTTCTAGCCGAGGCAAGGCTCTGGATATATGTACGAAGAGACTTCCTTGGAGCTTGTATCTTTACAAACAAGTTGGCATTGATCACTTCCATGTTGGTGACGGTTCCCTTTATCCGTCGCCTATCAATATTATTATTTATTATTTATACAGGATTTATATTATTATTATTATTTACAGGATTTTATTATTATTATTATTATACAGGATTTATATTATTATTATTATTATACAGGATTTATATTATTATTATACAGGATTCATATTATTATTATTATTATACAAGATTTATATTATTATACAGGATTTTATTATTATACAGGATTTATATTATTATTATTATACAGGATTTATTATTATACAGGATTCAATATTATTATACAGGATTTATATATTATTATTAACAGGATTTATATTATTATTATTATACAGGATTTATATTATTATTATTATTATACAGGATTCATATTATTATTATACAGGATTTATATTATTATTATTATACAGGATTTATATTATTATTATACAGGATTCATATTATTATTATACAGGATTTTATTATTATTATACAGGATTTTATTATTATTATTATTTTATACAGGATTATTATTATACATGATTTATATTATTATTATACAGGATTTATATTATTAATATTATTATACAGGATTTATATTATTATTATTATACAGGATTCATATTATTATTATTATACAGGATTTATATTATTATTCAGGATTTATATTATTAATATATTATTATACAGGATTATTATTATTATTATACAGGATTTATATTATTATTATTATACAGGATTTATTATTAATATTATTCAGGATTTTATTATTATTATTATACATTATTTATATTATTAATATTATTATACAGGATTTATATTATTATTATTATTATAATACAGGATTTTTATATTATTATACAGGATTTATATTATTATTATTACTATTATTATTATAATACAGGATTTATATTATTAATATTATTATACAGGATTTATATTATTATTATTATTATTATACAAGATTTATATTATTATTATTATACAGGATTTATATTATTATTATTATACAGGATTTATATTATTATTATTATACAGGTTTTATATAGCGCCAACAGTTTGCTCAGCGCTTTACAATATAACGGGAGACAATACAGTAACAATACAGTTCAATACAAGAGGGATAGGAGGGCCCTGATCCTGGGAGCTTACAATCTAGTATATAATAATGATTGCAGCCACAGCGATCACAGGTGTATTATTAATATCACTCAGGACTTATTTGCATCAGAATGCAGCACAATGAAAGGTCTGTGCCATATTATCGCCCTGAATCGCTCGCAGTGGATGCCGACCACCCCACACACCGGGATTGAGCCGGAGCAGAGCTTGTTCTATTCAGTATAGGAAAGCTGCAGACTGAACCATCCTCTAGGTGGCGTTGTTGATATTTCTTTCCATTTTCATTGCATTGAACAGACTTATCACCAGTTTTTTACACTGGACTTCGACTTCAGAACTTCCCTGGTCATGATTGGGAATTGTATGAATTAGGAGTTTTGTTCTGTATTCATTGAAAGAATATTCTCTTTTACTGAAAATAATGATTTTGGAATGCCGTGCCTACTCCAATCATCAACTAATTAAACATGTCATCTACAAAGTTTCACTTTTACTGTGAGAGTTATAGAAAATATTATACACAATAAATCCACCTTATGGTATTTGTATAATACTAAATATAAAGAAACCAATTTTTACTAAATGTCCTCTTTGCTGTTAATTGTAAATTAAAATTCATCCAAATCCAATTCTTCTTGATTTCCACCTGTTGTATTCCTTATGTAGTGATTCCCACCACCATTCACCATATGCGCTCACCTCCAGTGATGGACCTGCTAGATATCAACGCTTTCTCCGTTTGGGGATTGCTGTTGTTTTCCACTTGATCAAGGCTTCCCTTGGATATTTTACCCTATTTCCACTTCGGAGGTTGTATGACACTGCACATAAATAGGTGTATGGCCCTTTAAAATATTGTGGTTTCTTCCTGTAATGAACTCGTATAACAAAGGGGTTCCTCAGTGTAAATTAGGTCATAAACCCCTTTATTTGATTGTACTTAAAGTTAATATAAAAACATTTGCATGTATTACAAACAGCTAGGCCGTAGCTCCCGCATCACTTCTGGTTATGGCTCTCAGTCACCCGGCTCCACCCGACACGTTTCGTCACGGTCACTTGACTTCCTCAGGGGTACGTGGCCGGGCGCTCATATACTAGCTTGATTGTGTACAGTAGCCATGGGAACACTTAACAATTAAAAGCAAAGAAGACATTTATTATAATTTGTTTCTGTGTTTTTATTATTATACAAATACCATAAGGTGGATTTATTGTTTATAATATTTTCCATGTTTGTCACAGTATAAGGGCACTTTGTAGATGCCATGTTTAATTAGTTAATGATTGAAGTAGGAGCAGCAGTATTATATTGAATTTTTGTTATATATAGGTTGTGGGAACATAATGTTTCTGTTAGCAGCCACTTAATATATACGCTATTTCACCAATACAGGTATACACATTTGATTTGATTTTTTACTTTTCACTAATATTGTGTCACAAGTGTTACTAAACCCACTACAGTAAAATCAGCTGTATATGCAGTAAAGCATGCTTGTTATACTCACTGTGGAACCTAAGGGGTTAATCCTCTGCATTGTGTAAAGAGCCTGTTTGATCCTGTCCTCTCTGATCCTCTCCTTCTGTTGCTGTCCCCAATCCATCTGCCGATAGAACAGAGTTTTTGGGGGCAAGCTGCACATGATCAGTTTGGTGTGTATAGCTAGAGAGTTTTTTTTTTTCTTGGGAGAGTGCATGTGATCAGCACAGGGCCAATCAGTGCTGTCCAGACAGAGGGTCAGGGGTCATGCAGCCTTATAGGACAATCAGGGGAGAATGAAAACTCCTAAAAGCTTTAACCAGTGCTTGCTGGACACTGATAAAAGTCACAAGACTGTTATATACTGCTGATGAGAAACGGTATTTAGCAGATTATATTTACTAAAATAATTGCATTTCCATGTTCTGTGTACTGTGGAGACCAGATATAAAGAATGCAGGGTCCTGGGAGACCAGATATAAAGAATGCAGGGTCCTGGGTTTAGTGACACTTTAAAAGAATCTATACACTGCTAGTGTGGGATTGATACTCCATTTAACAATGATTTTGTAATACTAACAATTGCCATGTTGAATATTGTGAGTTTTAAAGAAGACGTTAACCACAGACCGCATGTGGCCCAAGACTGCTATGAATGCACACCAACACAAAATCGTAAACGTACCTAAAAATGTTGATTTTTTTTTGCGGGTCGTTTGTAAAAATGTGCTTAAACTTTATCGACCACATGCGGCTGAAGACAAATTTGACAGTGTCTCTTTATTGGACTTCTGTAAGTTTTATCTTCCCAAAGAAAAATCTCTCACTCTTCACAATCGCACCTTATTCATGTCATCAGTTTTCGACAGCACCTATACTTGTGAGAAACTATCTTTAACCCCCCTAGCTGTATTCCCGAGTGTAGCTCGGGGTTAACTTTCAGTACCAGAAACGGTAACCCCGAGCTACACTCGGGAATTACACTGCAGCGCTGCTCCGGGTATCCCTCCTGCACTTACCTTTTCCTGCGCTCCCGCGATGTCCCCCCTGCAGCGTCCCCGGCCATCTCCTCCGGCTTATGCTGGCATCCGTCTACCAAGTTCCTGTTCCCTGCAACGTCGGGACATACGGGACGTAAAAAAAGTGACATTCACTAAAACACTAAAATCACATAGTAACACATTCCTGTATCAAACCATTTCACATACATTTTGTCCCGAGTGCTTTGTCCAGCGCCCTGCCTGCATTTTTACTGTTCTTTCTGCCTGGAAACACGTCCATGGCGTCCAAAAAGCGTCCCTTTAGGTCAAAATCGATTTTTAGACCGGCTAGAGAACAGCGATAGTAAATCAGAACCACTTGCAGAATTGAGTGATAATGATTCATTGGGAAATTCGTCATCAGACACTGAAAACGATTTTGCGACTTTGCTCAGCGATGTGCGAACTTGGCGCTATATTTCAAATTTCAGTGTTTTTGGTTTGATTACATTATTGAATTAAATTTATTATTTTATTATTTTTTATGATTATTTATTATAATTTATGATTATGATGTATGATTATGATAGGGCGGCACAGTAGCTTAGTGGTTAGCACTTCCCACCTGGCAGTACTAGGGTCGTTGGTTCGTATCCCAACCATGGCACCACCTGCCTGGAGTTTGCATGTTCTCCCTGTGCCTGTGTGGGTTTCCTCCAGGTACTCCGGTTTCCTCCTACACTCCAAAGACATGCTGGTAGGTGAATTGGCTCCTGTCGAAATTGTCCCTAGTATGTGTATGTGTGAATGTAAGTTAGGGACCTTAGATTGTACACCCCTTGAGGGTTAGGGACTGATGTGAATGTACAATATATATATGTAAAGCGCTGCGTAAATTGATGGCGATATATAAGTACCTGAAATAAATAAATAATAAATAAATAAATTTCCTGTTTCAAATGTTATCATACCCGGGATGTTTACTAGACTCTTGTTCGGACAGATTTCAGTGAGTTATTCCTAAGAATTACAGGCCCACAATAAAAAAACAACATATTTCCATTGAAAATAATGTACCGCTTTGAGCACAGAAATACTGACATAATCAGACCACTAAGGAGGTTAACCCCTTCCCGCCGACGCCTCCCGGCCCTTTAAGAGATTCAGACGCTGGGAGGCGGGGCGGTTGGGGCGTGGTTTAGGAATCATGTGACCGCCGTGATGACGTGTCACGGTGGTCACATGATCAGGAAAGGTCCCGATCGAAAGAGCGGACCGGGACCTTTCCGTGAGTACCACACATGTGTGCTGGGAGCGCGCAGGGCGTGCGCTCTCAGCACATATGTATTTAGTTACATGGACGCAAATGTGCGGCCGCTCGGCATCTAGGCCCAGACGCCGGGAGGCCGCGCATTTGTGTGCGGCCGGCGCAAAGGGGTTAAGGATGAAGCACACGAAGGGCAAAATTAGAACCAAAATATCTGATGGGCACTTTTAGAATTCATTGAGAATTGCTACTATGTCCATCCTAGCAGATATTGATGCGTTAGTGTATCAAAAACCGTGTCAAATATCTCACTAGTTTTATTTTTATACTCATTTACTTTTTTACTAAAAAATATTTGAAAAAAATACGCTGTCACTATTTACAGTACACTATTTATATCAGTGATTGTTAACTCGGGATCTGCTAGAATTGTATGTACTGTGCATATGTGACAAAACTTTAACCCGGAAGTTAAAGGTTCATGTGCTACCAGGGGTGTCAAACTGGCGGCCCTCCAGCTGTTGTGAAACTACAAGTCCCATCATGCCTCTGCCTTTGGGAGTCATGCTTGTAACTGTCAATCTTGCAATGCCTCATGGGACTTGTAGCTTGGCAACAGCTGGAGGGCCACCAGTTTGACACCCGTGCTTCGGCATTGGTATCCACATCCACAGGCTCCAAATTGAAGGTGATGGAAACAAGATACTGGACAGAGAATGCTCAGGCAAAAGCACACAGAGATCTTTCCGATGTACGCTCGTTCCTTCTCACAAATGTCCTGGAAATACACAGGAGGGAGAGCCCAGGTGGAAATGTCAGATAGGTCATGTCACTTTCTTTTTTTATGTTAACTAATTGAATGATAAATTAATTCATTTTTGTCCATTGAACGATTTCTCATTCAAAATTTGGTCACTACATTGTTGTTTGTAGCATTTGCTCTTATGACCAATTTTTAATTTTTTTTGGAAAATGAGTTTGAACGATTTTTTGGCTACTGTGTGGCCTGCATGAGAATGTTTGGTTTTGGTTTTCTAACATCTTTGGGGTCAAATCAATGTTCTTTTTTGACCACATTGAATAAAGCAGGATGAAACATTTTTCTGGAATGAGCCAATTTTTAACAGTGTATGTGGTTTTCGTTCAGTAAAGTCCATTCATTCCAAAATCAACTGTTAAAAGCAAATTAACCATTAGCCGCCCGGCCTATAGCCGTTTGGCGGCCGCCAAAATGCATTACCTTTCTGGGGTGTACTCCATTTGGCGTACTCCCGCACATGCGCAGTTTGCGCGGTTGCAGAGCCGCGCAGCGGCGCAATCTGTCACCGGCCATATACCTCGGACACGGCCGATGACAGATCTGAGTACCTTCCCCTTCCCCTGTTGCCAGTACCATGTGACCTGCTGTGACCAATCACAGCAGATCACATGACAGTTGTATACAATGGATGGCTTCATTCATGCCATCCATTGTATACTAGTGCCTAGCTGTGAATGGTCACAGCTAATCACATGCACATGTCATGTGATTAGCTGTGCCCAAATCACAGCTAAGCACAAAAAAAAAAAAAAAAAAAAACCTGAATGAATTTCATTCAGGTAAATGCTTGCTTATAGCAATGTAATTCTTTGCTATAAGCAAATTGTGTAAAAAAAAAAAAAATACTGATCACTTCCCCAAAGTAGTACAATGTTACTATGGTAACATTGTACTATTTTGGTCATAGTAAAATATGAAAAAAAAAAATCTTAAAAAAAATAAAATAAAAATGTAATAAAAAAAAAAAAAAAAAATAAAAAATATATTTTTTTTCATACTGTCACCAGTCAGTGTCCCTGTTCACCGCCATGCCAGTTATATGATGACGCTGTACTGCACTGGTGACAGTATGTAAAAAAAAAAAAAAATAGTGTAAATAATTTTTTTAATTTTTTAATTTTCCCAAAAATTATGACAAAAAAAATACAACTTCAAAAAACTCGCCATTCCTCTTATGAAGTACGTCGGACTGTCTACTCTGCAAAAAGGGGTCATTTGGGGATATCTGTACTGTTCTGACATTCTTGGACCTCAAGAAATTAGATTGGCTGTCAGTACTTCAGGATTGATCAATATTCAGATATATACCATAGTTTGTGAACTCTATAACTTTCCTACAAACTAAATAATACATCCTAATTTCGACAAAGACATGTAGCAGAATACATCTCGGCCTAAATTTATGAAGAACAATTATTTATTTGTAAACTTTTATAACAGAAACAAAGAAAAACATTTTTTTCAAAATTTTTGGTCTTTTTTTGTTAATTTAGCAAAAAATAAAAACCCCAGCAGTGATTAAATACCACCAAAAGAAAGCTCTAGTTGTGCGAAGAAAATGATAAAACTTTAGTTTGGGTACAATGTTGTATGACCGCGCAATTGTCATTCAAAAATGTGAGAGCGCTGAAACGTGAAAAATGGCCTGGGCAGGAAGGTGTAAAATTGCCCGGTATTGAATTGGTTAAATCTTTCAGATGTTCTGAGAATTTTTCTACAAATTTTCCTAATTATCATTTGAAATTATATTAATTTATAGCCAGATTAACAGGCTGACAACACAGGAGCACAATTTGGGGACAGAGACAGAGCGTTGTTACCCTATAACAGAAAGTTGCAGAAAAGAACAAAACTGGGCGCACTCTCCTTGTACATTACCGTGATAATAAGAAATGTATTATAAAAATACAAATACATACTCACAAGCCAAAAAGGTCATAAGAACAGAGACGAGGAGTCAAAAGCTGCCAGCCATAGGCAACAATGGTCCTCGGATGAAGTACTAACGCGTTTCGGGAGTCGAACTCCCTTCCTCAGAGCTCTGAGTATGCATTTGTATTTTTATAATAAATTTCTTGTTTTCACGGTAATGCACAAGGAGAGTGCGCCTTGTTTTGTTCTTTTCTGCTAGTATCAAGATTCCCCGATCTATCAAGGGCAGCACCTCAGTAATTGCTGGATTTCACATTCATTTTTTTGAGTGCAGCAAGAAGGATTTGAGTGCTGGTTTCTGGTTACTGTTGGAGCTATAACAGAAAGTGCCTGAGCAAGGATGAAATCTGTCCAGTTGCAAATATTGAAAGGAACTTGAGATCCCATTAACGTGTTTGTATCTATATGTGATCGTAGTGATTGTATCCAAATTTAAGGGATAAATTCACCTTTCTCC